GATGGTGTTTAATGCCTGTTATGTGTGAGCGTGGTGTGGACCCCAGTTAAAACACAGACCAGGAGGAGTAGGAGCCAAAGAAAGTAGTTTAATGAAACAAAACAAGGTAATGCTGGGTGGCAGGAAGACAGGACCCAGGAGGACCAGGGTGGCAGGAAGACGAGGAACCCAGGAGGACCAGGGTGGCAGGAAGACGAGGAACCCAGGAGGACCAGGGTGGCAGGAAAATGAGGAACCCAGGAGGGACGAGCCGGAGACCAGGAAGGACAAGCCGGGGACCAGGAGGGACGAGCTGGAGACCAGGAGGGACGAGCAGGAGACCAGGAAGGATGAGCAGGAGACCAGGAGGATGAAAAACCAGGAGGGACGAGCAGGAGACCAGGAGGACGAAGAACCAGGAGGGACGAGCAGCAGACCAAGGAGGGACGAGCAGGAGAGCTGGCAGCAGGGGAGACACAGGACCCAGAAGACGAGCAGGTAAGCAGGCAGCAGCCAGGAGGACCAGGATGACAGGTGAGTCGACGGGCGAGTACACAGGGTTGTGGCAGTAGTTAGACACACAGGGTAACAAGATCAGCAATCAGGGAACAGAAGGATCAAGAGCAGGGGACTGACGAACGTAACCAACAGAACGGAGAGCTTGCTGATTAACCCGATGCAGAGTTATAAGAGCTGCTGACATGCGGAAACAAACAGAAACAAGACTGGAACACGAACAGGCGGAAAGCTCAGGACACGAACACATGTAATGCTAACCGGGTAGTGTAGCACAGCATAGGGTAAAGGTAGCAGTATGGTATGAACCAGCAAAGAGGCGGCAGAAGACAGGGTGTATATATACCTGACAGGACCGGGAGACAACAAGCAGCAGGTGGGAGAAATGATGGCTGATTGCAGAGAAATACCACAGGGGACCGGACCAGGGGATCAATAGGTGAATGATATGGTGACTAATTGCGGTGACGGAGCAGCGGGGAGAGAACAGGTAAACAGAAGCGTAAACACGGGAAGCCGAGCCACGCGACATCACAACAATGCCGAGCTGAAGTCCACAAAGAGGGCCCGTGCATAGGTCCCTGGGGAGTCGAGGTGTTGCAGGATGTAATGCAGTGCCATGTTCACTGCATCGTCCACTGACCTGTTTGCCTGATGTCCTTCAGGTGGGCCAACACCAGTCTTTCAAAGGACTTCATAACTACAGATGTCAGGGCAACAGGTCTGTAGTCGTTCAGTAATATCAGGGCGAAAGGCCTGTAGTCGTTCAGTCAACTGGTGGAGGTTTTCTTGGGGACTGGAATGATGGTGGAGTGTTTGAAGCAGGAGGGGACTTCACACAGCTCCAGTGACCTGTTGAAGATAAGTGTGAAGATGGGGGCCAGCTGATCAGTGCACACTTTCAGGCAGGAGGGGGTCACACCATCTGGGCCTGGAGCCTTTCTTATCTTTTGTCTTTTAAAGAGGCCACGCACATCCTTTTCACAGATCATTAGAGGTGGGGGGCTGGAGGGGAGGGTGGTGATTGTCAGGGGAGCAGCTGCTGGATCTGAGGTGGGGAGGGTGAGGGGGGAGGGTTGTCTCTCAAACCTGCAGTAGAACACATTCAGGTCGTCTGCTAGCAGGGGGGGATGGTTTTCTATAGCCAGTGATGGTTTTCAGGCTCCCCCACACAGACAAGGGGTCGTTAGCTGAAACCTGAGCTTTCAGCTTTTCAGAGTAGCTCCTCTTTGCTCCTCTGATCTCCCTTGTCAGTGTGTTCCTGGCCTGGCTCTACAGAGTCCTGTCCCCACATCCCCTCCTCTTTGGCACGATGAAGCTGCTGAGTCTTGCTGTGAACCAGGGCTTGTTGTTGTTGTATGTGCAGAAGGACTTTTTGGGCACGCACACATCCTCACAAAAGCTGATATAAGATGTCACATTGTCCATGAGTTCGTCCAGGTCTGTAGCTGCAGTCTCAAATACACTCCAGTCTGTCCTGAACTGAGACTGGGAGTTGGTTCCATAGGAGAGGAGCTTGATAGCTAAAGGCTCTGCCTCCCATTCTGCTTCTGTGGACTCTAGGAACCACAAGTAAACCTGCACTCTGAGAGCGAAGTGCTCTGTTAGGATGATAAGGCTCTACCAGGTCTTTAAGATACGATGGAGCCTGGTCCATGCATTTATGTAGAAGCAGATTCCACCTCCTCTCTTTTCCCGGACAGCTCCACTACGCGATCCGATCTGAACACCTGGAAGTCCGGTACTTGGATTGCGCTGTCCACGATGGAGTCGCTGAGCCAGGTCTTCGTGAAGCGCAAAGCAGCAGAGCGTGCAAAGTCAGTTAGTCCTGTTGACGAGAAGCGTTTCATCCATTTTGTTGACCAGGGAGCGGAGATTAGCCAGCTGAATAGATGGGAGTGAGGTCCGTGTTCCCCTCTGTTATAACCGCACCAAGGCACCAGCGCGTTTTTCATGTCGCCGACATTTTTTCCAGGTCCCGTATATCGCTGCTGCGCCTCCGATCAGAATGTCCATACAGCATTCTTTGTTCACAAAAATCGGAGGAAGGTAGTTTGGTTTGAGTTGTTCGATATTTAACAGTTCTACTTTGGTAAAATAATATAATAATATTAATAAACTTTATTTCTAAGGCACTTTACAGCCCACCTAAGCACAAAGTGCTGTACAATACCGAATAGCAACATAGAACATCATTGCAGTCTATAAACAAATAACACACCACTATCTCTGTAGAGAACTCAAAGCATCAAACGTCAGATAAAAAGGCCTGCCTAAAAAGATGAGTTTTTAAAAGTGACGTAAAAATCGATAACTCGGTTACGTGAGTAACCACGACCGCCATCTCTTTCGGCGCCGGAAGTTATACGGAGTTTAATATACTTGATTTTTGATTTGATTTGATTTGATTTTATTCTTTCAAACATGCAAAACAAATGACATCAACACACACACATAATTACACAAAGCCAACCACTGCTAATCCAGAATCAGTTTGCTTATACCCAGCACATGTTTGAATGGAGTAGGAAGAAGTCAGACTTATCCAGTCCTACCCCAGAACATCATCTTATACAAA